TCTTGACGTCCAAGGTGGGAGAATTGATAGAGAAAACATACAAGGCATAGAATGGGGTCCAGAAGCCGTTTAATATATGCGTGTTTTGCGTGATCAGATTGCAAATCAACTACTTTCACCTACTTTACATTAAATTATTATGTTATTTTAAATTTAATTATGTTTTTATTTGGATATTAAATGATTTATGTTTAATTTACATTTTGTATGGCATTTTTTATTTGTGTGTAATTTACATTTTGTATGACATATGTATTTTTTATAATTGTTCGGCAACTTCATCCATCACTATATATAACAGCAGGGTAAAATGATCATTTTTCATCACTCAACACATTTAGTCAGATGTACAATCAAACAACATGATTTCTTAGATATTCTTTATATAATATGTGTCACAATCATTTGCAGATAAATATTACCTTTGTGATGCCGCATATACAAACACTCGTAGGTTCCGCAATACTAGGTATTGGTTAACCGATTTTCGAAGAGGCAAACATTTAACTAGAGAAGAAAGGTTCAATTATGCTCATGCACAACTTAGAAATGTTATTGAGCGTGCTTATGGTGTATTGAATGCGAGATTTCCAATCTTAAAACAAATGACTCCTTATCCTTTTACAGTGCAAAGAGACATAGTCATTGCTTGTGTCGCGGTCCATAATTTTATAAGGAAATACAATATAGAAGATGACGTGTTTACAAATTTTGAGGAGGACACTATGGTTACTCTTGACGTCCAAGGTGGGGGAATTGATAGAGAAAACATACAAGACATAGAATGGGGTCCAAAAGCCGTTTAATATATGCGTGTTTTGCGTGATCAGATTGCAAATCAACTACTTTCACCTACTTTACATTAAATTATTATGTTATTTTAAATTTTAATTATGTTTTTATTTGGATATTAAATGATTTATGTTTAATTTACATTTTGTATGGCATTTTTTATTTGTGTGTAATTTACATTTTGTATGACAAATATGTATGTTTTTATAATTATTCGGCAACTTCATCTATCATATAACAGCAGGGTAAAATGATCATTTTTCATCACTCAGCACATTTAGTCAGATGTACAATCAAACAACAGGATTTCTTACTCAGACAGACCTTTCCCAATCAGCACTTTCTCGGTCAGCAACTATCAAACGGAGCCTAAATTTGCATGATTAAATTTTAACTATTTATTTATTTGAATTATGTTTGACATAGTTGACTTGCTTTGACTTTGGTTTGACTTGTTTGACTTTTATTGACCCGAAATAACCGGTTGTTACAGAAAGCATATATTGTTAACCGGGAATTCTTAAGAACTATTCTTGGATTTCATGCAGTTTTCTTTGTTGGGTTAGATAATATGAGAACCGAATGATATATGATATATGTAAATTTGTTCTTGCTACATCAGTTTACCATGTATATGGAGAGAAAGAAATGGAACATTGTTTGTAAATACTAGCCATGAAGCTTCTTTTGTGACTAGATTAATTCTTGAAGATGGGAGATTTAAACTGTTGGGGCTCAAATCCAGCCGTAAAGGTGTAAACTGGAAAGTTTGTGGAAGATAGTTTATACCAATGAAATGGATTATGTTTAGTCTCCGAGATGCATTTAAAAAAAAAAAAAAAAAAAAAAAATCTTTGGTTCTATTTGTTCATCTAACTACCGAGGAGAGTAGTATGAGTACATTTAAAAAAGAAAGAAAAATGAAAGAATGATGGGTGCTTTTGCTCATTGGATTCGTTCCCAACCGAGTAATAGAAATGGAATTGGAATGGAGAAAAACTTGGATGCTAATATGAAGATTGAAGGGATAGGTAGTTTGTTTTAGTTAATTAGTGGCTTTGGCAATGTATTTTGTTAGAAGAATGATTATATAGTTTTGGCACTTAATAGATGTGTGGTTAGAAAACTTTTGTTGGGGTTTGTCCAAAAAGGTGGTAGATTATAATCCATTGTGGTTTTTGAAGTTGTTGAATAAATGTATTGGGTCTCTTTCCAAAAAAAAAAAAAAATAAATAAACACTATCCATAGTTTCTAAAATGGACAACCCCGTTTTTCCAACAATATGAATGGCAAACTGAATCATACCATATAAATTACTAATAAAATAAATATAATGTTAGAAAGGACATTTATGATACAAAATAGAAAATATTGTTATTTGATTCAAAATCACACAGGTAAAAGATATTCCTTTCTTGAAACAAAATCCGAAATGGGCCAACAGAAACTTAGAAAGTGTGCGTTAATAATTCCTTTGTTAATTGTTGTATTATAGAGAGGGTTACATTTTAAACCCATACTTGTAAAACTAAGTTAATTAAATTACATGTTATTTATAACGAGTTTTATCGATCAAGTAATCAAAACAATCATATCTACATGTTTAAAAGTCATCCAAATTAAACTCAATTGTCTAAAACGACAAGACAAAGCTTATAATTTGGGATAATGACTTAAAAATATAATATACTTTTTGATTTATAAACATTTGGTCACTGAGTTTATTTATTATTCATATTTAATCATTTAACTTGTTTTTTGTCCACAATCAGTCCTTATAACCGACTACTTTAGGTTAAACCGGAAAAATAACTTAATAGAGTAATATATTTTTTCAGTTTGTACACATTTAGTCCTTATGATCAGTTTCTTCAGATTTTGTTCACGACGTCTTACATGGAACAATCATTAATGAGGTGTTCACATACGTGGTTCGTCCTTCACTTATATCAGTAACCTAATTCACAAATTAGTCAAATAATGTTGGTACCCTACTTTTCTCCAAGCAGAAGATGTTTCCATCTTCGGTTTCATCTCTCCATAGCAGACAACAAGTTCTTTGTCTTAAAAGTGCAACTTCGAGTTGGGAGGAAGCAATCACAAAGAATCTCGTTATTTGCTATGGAGATAAATGAAACTTTTTTCCAGGGTGCTTTTTTGTGTTGGAAATGCAAATTCTTTTAGATTCTTCTTAAATTCTTTTTGTTTTGGAACTGCAAATTCGAGTTAGGAGGAAACAATCATAAAAATCTTGTTATCTGCTATAGAGATAGATGAAACTGAAGACGAAGACATATTTTGTTTGGAGAAAACTAGGGCATCAACATTATTTAACTTATCTGTGAATTAAGTTACTAATATAAGTGAAAGACGAGTCACACATAAAAACACCTTATTAATGATTGTTCTATGTAGGATGTCGTGAGCAAAATCTAAACAAACTGGTCATAAGGACTAAATGTGTACAAAAACATTAATGATTAAATGTGTACAAACTGAAAAATATATTACCCTATTAAGTCATTTTTTTGGCTTAACCTGGAGTAGCTGGTTATAAGGACTGAATATGGACAAAAAAAAACAAGTTAAATAGTCAAATGTGAAGAAAAAAAACTCATTAACCAAATATTTATAAATCAGAAATTATATTACATTTTTAAGTCATTATTCCTATAAATTTCGTTAGAATAAGAAGAAGGAAGGTAGATGCTATTGATTATGCATTTAGGGAAAAAAAATTCTTATAAACTAGCTTTTAAAAATTATATAAGTTAATGATTTATTATAACGTATAAAACCTTTTAAAAAAATAATAACTTTTTGCTATCATGTTTGTTAATAAAATACTAGGTCTTGTGTTAAAATAATAAAAGTGTTTTTTTTTTTCTTAGTTAGATTTTGTTTTCTTGTTGTGTCATTCACAAGAAAACGTATATCTATAGAAAGTATAATAAGTACATAGTTTACCAATAGTTTAATCGCATAAATGATAAAAAGCAATATATATACCTTTTTTGTCCTATAATTACAAATTTGGTTATAATGGCTTAAAACCTCATTGTTTGTAAATGATATTTTACCAACAAATATATCTTTGGGGTTTGGGAGAAGAAGAAGGTTTTGGAAATCAATGAATAGCTTAAATCTGCTTGAAGAATCGTGTGATCGTTTTCGAATATGGTATTTTGACATTATGTATGGGTAACACGAAATGTTGATTATGAGGATGATTCTTCGATGAACAATCTCAAATTAAGGCATTGATATGAAACCACAAACTATGGTTTTGTAGAATTTGGATTCTTCTTATTACCAAAGATAAACATTAATCAACATTATCTTGTTTTCCTAAGACACCAACTTATAATAAAATCAAGAATCGAACTCAATTGTTAATTTGTAAATTTCATTATACTAAAATGGCATGATGATACTAAAATCACCAACAAATATTATTAATTATTTTGGTAAAATTATTGCGCCGTATGTAAGGTTAGTGCTGCTTAATGCAATTGAGACACCTTCCATCATTTTTTCAAGCCCTAAAAATATACAATTATTTTGATTTTATTTAGCATTTGCTTTAATTTAATAATATGCATAATCATTTTTATATTATTTTATCTTTCACAACTAGTTTATCGGTTAGTGTTTACCTAACGTTATCAATTATTTCATCAAGATAACAACTACCTTTCTAACTAGTCCCGCAAACACAACATTATTATTTAACTTTCCATTTGGGACATATGTAATGATATCTCAATCTTATTTTATAAATCATATCTACAATCTAGTTTTTTTTTTTATAAGCGTATATCTTATGAATATAGATAGAAGTATGAGAAAGGAAAGTATCCGATCTGAAAATAAAAACCAAAAATTAAAAATCTTGCACAAGAAAAGTACATAAATATGACCGTTGGAAAAACCCTATTGCTTATTTCGACAACCTTAAGCCAGGAATCCTGTCTCTTTTGCCTCCATTAGTTCTCCTCAATCTGTCGATTAGCGTAGTGCACCATTTTACCCACAAATTTTACAACCCCAAGGTTAAAAAGGTGAAACACCCCTACAAGCTAACGGCTACCATTTTCATGCCATTAAATCCATCTTAATTCTCAGCCGTTGGATCTTCTGACACCCGCTTTTGTCTCTCTCTTTCTCTTTAAATATATAAACCCCTAATTCTTCTTACAGTTTCCCACTCTCTTCCACTACTTTCTTGGTTTTTGCCTTCTGGGTCTGTTTCATTATGTTGAAGTTTTGCGATTTCAGAGGGTTTCAATCCATGAAACTTCTGATGATGGTGTTGTTATCGATCTTTCTTCTTGTTTCTGGTGATGAAGGTAAGCAACTTTCAAGATTACTTTATGTTCATGACTTCATGTTGTGTTTTGTGGGTTTTTGGTTTGACTGAATGAAGTATAGGGTGTTTAATGACATATTACTTCCATATTTGCGTGTTAGTGATTGTTTATTGTCTCTTAAATAAAAATGGGGAAAAAATAGAAATTTTATTCTTTGCATTTATCTTGTGTTTATCTATTTTACTATTTTTCTTTTTTGAAGTTTTTATTTTTAATTATTTAGTAGGCAGACAAAAAATTATTATATGATAACTGAATAATACAACAATACAAAAATTGATTTGGAATTAATGTAATATAGATCTACCATTTATTGTCCCATTGACGATATCGAGTGCTACGTCATGTGAGGTCCATGTGGAATAATATTATTCTTGGTGTTTCATCTTTCAACTTTCAACTTCAATGAATGTATTTTGATTAATAATTTTTCTTTGTCTAGCCGAAAAAATATAATGAATTTTAATGTATTTATTGTAATTAACTAACAAAAATCTATAGTATTTTTCTCATATTTGGATTAAATTTGATATTAAAATGAAAATACCATTTCTGTCTTGGTCCTCGCCAAAGGTCAGATTTTTGGGAATTATGAAATGAAACAGTCCATATTGTTACCGCTTTAGTAAGCATACCACGTGGCATATATACACCATTTTAATTTTTTTTTTCCTAAATATATTTTATTATTTTTAAATTTTTACATGCAAATAAAATATTTAAGCTTTGTCGTGTTTACAGATGCATTCATCGGAGTGAACATCGGAACTGATCTTTCCGACATGCCACACCCAACTCAGGTCGTCGCCCTCCTCAAATCACAACAAATCCGTCATGTCCGTTTATACGACGCCGATCGAGGGATGCTCACCGCCCTCGCCAGCACCGGAATCAAAGTCGTCGTCACTATCCCGAACGACCAACTCCTCGGAATCGGCCAATCCAACTCCACCGCCGCCCACTGGGTATCCCAAAACATCGTTGCTCATTACCCCGCCACCAACATCACCACCATCTGCGTCGGCTCCGAGGTCTTCAACAACCTCCCAAACGTCGCCCCTGTTCTAGTCACAGCCCTCAAATTCATCCACGGCGCTCTCGTAGCATCAAATCTCGATCGTCAGATCAAAGTATCAACACCCATCGCATCCACTATCATCCTCGATTCCTTCCCGCCGTCACAAGCTTTCTTCAACCATTCATGGAGTCCGGTAATGGCGCCGCTTCTTAAGTTCCTCCAGTCCACCGGATCTTCTCTTATGCTTAACATATACCCGTATTACGATTACATGAACTCAAACGGGGTAATACCTTTGGATTACGCTTTATTCAAACCATTGCCGGCGAACAAAGAGGCGGTGGACGCGAACACCCTTTTACACTACACCAACGTCTTTGACGCCATGGTGGACGCCGCCTACTACGCCATGGCTTCCCTGAACGTCACGAATGTTCCAGTTCTTGTAACAGAGTCCGGTTGGCCGTCAAAAGGCGACCCAAACGAACCAGATGCCACTTCAGACAACGCAAACACCTACAACAGTAATTTAATCAAACATGTTTTGAATCAAACCGGAACTCCTAAGCATCCTGGGATTCCGGTGAGTACTTACATCTACGAGCTATACAACGAAGACATTAAAGAAGGGTCTGTTTCAGAGAAGAATTGGGGACTTTTTGATGCGAATGGGAAACCGATTTATACTCTACAATTGACGAATTCGGGTCCGACTTTTGCTAACAATACTGGGAATCTGAGTCATTGTGTAGCCATGGAAGGTGCTGATAAGAAAATGTTGCAGGCGGCGTTGGACTGGGCTTGTGGGCCGGGGAAGGTGAACTGTTCGGCGTTGTTGCAGGGGCAACCGTGCTATGAACCGGATAATGTGGTGTCACATGCGAATTTTGCTTTTGATGCTTATTATCATATGATGGGTAGAGGTGAAGGGACTTGTGATTTCAATGGCGTTGCTACGTTGACCTCCACTGATCCAAGTAAGGGTCGAAATCGAAATTATTATCTGTTCTTTGTTTATTACTCTGTTTCGAGGTACTGAAATCAGCTCTTTGGGTGTTGTTGCAGGTCATGGTTCTTGTCAGCTTTTTGGAAATGGTGGGATGAATGGGACGTTTTTGAACAGCACCATAGCTGATTTTAATTCTACAAGCTCCGCCGCAGGTGGCGGCGGCTATGGTGGTGCTGGTGTTTTGATGAAGGTTGTATTTGTATTGGCCGTGGTGTTCTTGTGATTGATTGTGAGAGGGATGTTATTGGTCCGGTTCAGGTGGAGGAGAATTCTTCCGATTTTGGTGGTTTTTGTGTGGACCGGAGGGGTGGTTTTGTACAAAAGGAGAATGATGGAGGGTTAGTTTTAGAATGCCATTTTTTTGTTGTAACTTTTAATTGGAGTTGTTGTTGTTTATTGTTGGACTTGGGCCTTGGGGTCTCAAATTGAATGAGATTTTAGGCTGGTAATCATTCTTTTTGATTTTTTACTCCTCTTTATTATTATTATTATTATAAATGGTTCGTTAAATTCATGCAAATTGTAAGCCTTTGTGGTGAATATGCTTCAAAGAAATTGGTTATTTTTTGCCCGTTTGAGGCAGAGGACTACAACATAAAAAACAAGACTTGACAAATTTAGTATTGAATTCTAGGTTTAAAACAAGACTTGACAAATTTAGTATTGAATTCTAGTTTCGTGAATTGTTTTCGACATGATTAATTAAGACTTCTAGTTTATGACACCCACAACATGATTTGACTTCTAGTTTTGTGAATTGTTTTCGACATGATTTTGACTTCTAGTTTCGTGAATTGTTTTCGACATGATTTTTGACTTCTAGTTTCCCAATTTAGTAGTTTCGTCAATTGTTTTCAACATGATTTTGACTTCTAGTTCAAATCACAACATGTAGTATGAACCTATATGAATTTACAAGTCCTTAACCAAGGCGTATTGATGCCATAAAACCCCTTCAACAATGCATTTAACAACGCTCCATCATGGTGGGGCGCGCACACACACACAGAGAGAGATTTTCAACGCCATTTTAACCTAATTTTTTAAATTGTCATTTTAACCTGTCACACCAACATGACAGTGACGTGGTTGCCAAAAAAATGAGGTGACATGATGGCAAGCATGACTTTAATCATTTCATCACCCTAAGAGATACCAATTTTTTTCAAGTCCATACCAAACCACCGTAAGTCTTTACATATAAGCATTATGATAAGTGGTGTCTATATTACGGGGATGAAGGTTGAGGTTTTTCAATTATTTTATGCAGATGACTTGTGTCCCTGGGAGGTGGATAACGCGAGAAAGATTGTTGGAATCATTAGATGTTTCTTTCTCGCGTTTGGGTTGAAAATCAATTTATTAAAAAGTAGTTGATTGGGGTTGGAGTGTCTGATTCCTTGAGTTAGGATGTTGCTTTGGGTGTTTATTGGTTGCCAGGCTTCTTCCATGCATATTACGTATATGGGTGTTGGGGTTGGTCGTTGTATGTCTCGGGTCTCTTTGTGGTCAGAGCTCACGGATCGGTTTTTGCATCAGTTTTTGTTTGGAAAGTCAAGTCTCTTTCTATCGATGGTCGCCTTATTTTATTGAAGTCCGTTCTCACTTATTTTATTGAAGTTTGTTCTCATGTCAATTGGGATGTATCACATGTCTTTCTTCTTGGTTCGTACTTCGGTCCAGAGTTCATTATATACTCTTAAAGCTATATTTTTTAAGGAGTTGATATATGAGAAAGACGCATGCACAAGGTTAGTTGGAGTTTGATTTTCTACAATAGAGCATTGCTTTTTTTTAGTGGAAGTGGATATTTTTTTCATAGCCCTGAAGCCTTATGGGTTAAGGTGGTCAAGGTTATTTAATGCTCATATTTTATTTTATTTGTTTATTTTTATTTATTTATTTTATTTTACTTTTTTTTGGGGGGGAGGGGGGTCTCCATGGTTTCTTCTTATCGTGGTTCTCGAGATCCTTGGTTTGGTATATGTAGGGCGATGCGATTGTTGAGTGATCGAGGTTTAGACCTCCAAGCTCTTTGTCCATTCCGTATTGGATATTGGTATATGATTGACTTTTGGCAGGATACTTGGATTGGAGATCGCCCTCTAGTTGTTGATTTTCATAGAGTTTTTGCTTTAGACCTCCATAAGGTTTGTTCGGTTGCCACTAGGCATTCTTTTGGTTGGGCGGTTAATTCTCTCAGTAGGAATTCGAGGAGTGGTGTGGAAGAGTCTTAATGGGAGACATTCCTTCAGTTGATGCATATGTGTAGATTGGTGATTGAGCAGACATATTGCGTTGGTCTTTAGATCCCACACATAGTTTTATAGTTGTGTCGGCTCATGACTTTCTTGATAGAGGTACGCTTCCTAGTGGGGGAGTGTGAGATTAGATTGAATTCTTGGATTTGCATCAAGTTGAACATCCTTCTTTGGCGTGTCATGTTCAATATTCCTATGAGCGAAAGACTTTCTGCTAGAGGGATTCTTGTCCCCTTGATTATGTGTCTAGTGTGTTCAATTGTGGTAGAGACTATTGATCATTTATTCGTGTGGTGCTCCGGTTTGGTTGGTGTTTGGCATCGGATTGTCATATGGTGGGGAGTTCAGCTTCCTATGTCTACTGCGTTGCATTCGTTCGTTTCTTGGGTTGATTCGACTCGCTTGATTATAGGTCAGAGGAAGGTGTTTGATGCAGTTGTGGTTATAGCTATCTGGGTCATTTGGAATTTTAGGGATTCTATTCTATTCGGTACTGTAACGCCCGGTTCCTAGGTAAATTTCTCAAGTTTTAAATAAATGTTTATGTTAGGCCATTACGCTAAAGCGTAATGGATAGTTGCATTGAGTGGAACTCATTTAATTTGATTGTGGATTTCATCTTGGACGTTGGGCGTACGTATGAGTACGCTTAGCGTACTCATGTAGAGTGCGGAACCCTAAATTTTAGGGTTTGGACCCTATTTAAACACCTTATGACCTCAAGGCCTCTCTCATCACCAACCTCCATCATCCCAAAGCAATCCCCTCGAAACTTAGCCTCATTTAAGAGAGAGTTGAGCCTTTTGAATGATCTAGTGTGTTTTTGGTGCATGTTGAAGAAGAAAGAGCTCATTGGAGAAGTATTGGTTGGTTTGAAGCTTGTAGATCCATACCTTGTTCAGCTTGATCATCCTTTTGGAGGCATAAAGTATCAACATTGATGATTCATTTCTTAGATTAGCTTAGGGTTTTTGGCATATTTTGGTCTCATGGGTTGATTCATGTGAGTAAAAGCTACTCCATAAGCATAGGTTATCATTCCTTGATGTTTATGAGGTCCCTAGTGTATAAAAATTATATATTGATGACTTTGGTTCATCCATGCATGAGTTGATGTTCATAAAATGAAATTAGAATGTTAGAAATTGGTTTTGGGCTTCTTTGAGCCATGCAAAAGCATCAAGTTGACGCCTTTATCAGTTGAGACATTCCCAAGAGCAAGATCTATGATTTGGACATTAGGCTTTAGGTATTAAGTGCCTAATATGGAATTTGGGCTTTAGGGGAATATGTTGGGCGTAACCTCTAGGTACGCTCATCGTAGCGTGTTCAGCCCCGACTTCCTTTGTAACGCTCGCGTTTCTGGCTAAGCATTAGTATGATTATGTAATAGTTAGATTCAACAATTGTAACATATTTTGAAGTAATGAAGAAGAATTATTTGAGTATTATGTGATTTATGTGATTTATGTGCAATATACGTGCTTATAACGATGTAATAAAATAATAATAAAAATATGCGTCAAAAATAAAATAATAGATAGACCTAATATCTATGAATAAAGTTGAAGTGGTCGTAACAAAGATATAGGGGATATAAGGAACGCTGAAATCCGACATATAACGAAGAAGTTATGACCCGTCGAAGTTTTGCGACAAAACTGGCACGACGCTGTGTGTCGTAAAAAGTGATTTTGCGATAAAATACTTTTTAGCCTTAGCGATCTAAACGAAAGTCGTAGTATACGTTAAACTGAGAGCGTGCATATAGAGAACGTCCAAATCTGACTTCGTTAGTGGAAGTTATGATTTTTCTAAGATTTGGCATAACAGTATGCAGCCCGGAAATCGAATTTTAGATCGATCGATTGTTAGCCGACACAATCTAAATGAGAATCAAAGATCTCGTTAATAGAAGTTCAACGATATAAAGACAGACGAAAACGGACGTCGGATGACAAAGTTATGAATTTTTAACGGAGTTTATCTGTCTAAGCCTGTTAAAATATAACTTTAAAAATAAAGTCAAAATTAGCCGACGGAGTCTAAACGAAAGTTGTAGATCACGTTTCTACCTACGTGTGGATATAAATAACGTCAAAAACGGAGCTCGTATGCGAAAGTTACGGAATTTATAAGTTAATTAAATTATGGGTTAGATGCAAGGCTGACACGTGGCAAGATCTGGACCCTTCCTTTCTCTCCACGGCTTCACACCGGATTGCGACACCTGTACCACGTACGCCCAGCGTACTCCGAAGTTACGCTCCACATACTCCCATTTCTCAACCTATAAATAGAGGCGCAAATCTTCCATTTTTCTCACACCTTTCCCATTCTTTCTCTCTCAAATACCCCTCTTAGCCCATCCCCTTCCCATTTCTCAGCCTATAAATAGAGGCTCCGAGAAGAAGAGATTTTGGCTCAGAAGTTCTGCCTCTGCAGAGCCCGACTCCTAGCTAAACTCCATTGTAAATGAGTAATGCTTACCCTACTTTAAGTATAACTTATTTTTAAGTTCATTATCATTATTATGAACCTATAAACAATATATGTGCTAAGTATTATAAATTATACAAAGTGTTATTATAATATGATTTAACTGCTCGCGGTACGGGGAATCTGGTTTGAAGGGCCGCATAGGGTTGTTGGATTTCAGAACAGCTTAAATGCCAAAATGGTCCTGCCCTCCGATGTTTCATGTTTGGCCCTTGTCTGTACATAGTAGTTGAAAAGTATTATTTAACACTTATATAATACAAGAAAAACAATATCGCTCGTAGACCTTGAGTTAATGATAAATCTAGACTAATAATTACCCGCAATAAACATTAGATTAAATCTAGTGATAATGATACTATGTTTCGTCGAAGGAAAATAAAATTATTAGAAGCGAAGCGTTGCCCGGGTTTGGAGTCATCATTTTAACAAGTGAGAGCATAGTTACTTTCATCTTACACGTAGATATGAAGTATTTAATATAAATTACACGCTATGTGTGCATATTATCTGTGTTCTTTGTATTTATGTTGGATGAACAATATATACATGTTTTATTCGATTTAAACTGTATATGTATTTTATACCTATAATTATGATGAGTAAAGATAGGTAGATGATATAGATGATGAAATAAATGATGAGAGGTCT